AAACATACCAGTGTATGGGTTACATGTTTTTATGGAGGAACTTGGGTGTGGTGATTTGGAAAACTCTTAGTTTTTGTGACAATTTAGATATCATTTTGAAGTTGACAATATTGAATCAATACCATTATTTTACATGACAGTCCCTCTAATAACAAATTACTTGTGGCACATTTCAATAATTTGGGTACTTTTGTAGGTTATGAATGGTCATTCCTCAAATGATGGAATTCTAAGAGACTATTGTGATAGTGAACAGTACAAAATGCATGCTCTTTTTGGACAACCTGGTAATGCACTACTTCTTCATTGTTACTATGATGATTTTCAAGTAACAAACCCGCTTGGATCAAAGACAAAAAAACATAAAATAGGTATGCTTTTCAATCATGTATTTACAGGCATGTAAACTATTACGTGTTTTGTTAGGTTGCTGTTAGCATTAATAATTATCATGAACATTATTATTTATTGACTGACAATCTCCTGTTTTTGTGTGTGTGTGTGTGTGTGTGTGTGCTTGTTGATGGTGTGTTTGCAGATGATGAAAAAACAAACTACTGTTTGTCATGTTTAAACAATATCTGGCAGGGAAATTTTGAGAAATCTCTAAAAACTGATCTTTTGGGGATATCCTATTCACTTATGAATGTTTATGAGGTTTGACATGCAACATCCACCATCCTAAATTTCAATCCTGTTCAATATCAAAATATTGAATGCGTACATGCAATGAGAGTAAGTTCCCTCAAATGTGCAGTGTAAAATAAGTGCAAATGTAAGGTCTGGTTCATACGACGTGCTTCTGTTGTGCTGCACAATAGCACATTTGTGTTGACCCAAACTAAAGAAGGTTCAGCCTTGATTCATACGTCATACCTAGTATGTTGAGCCAAATACCTTAAACATAAATAGGTGGTAAAAACAGTCAGCAGAATTAAAGCAGAATTGAAAAATATCAAAGGAAAACATTGTTTGAGGTATGCATTTGGTTTGGCACAACATGTTATGACTATTGCCATTGAAATTGATTTTTTTATGAACATCAGGAGCCTTTTACTTCAATCTGGGAAATCTTAGTCCAGAATACCGTTCTGTTATCAACTCAATTCAGCTAATTGCTTTGTGCCGAGTACCGCTCATAAAAAAGTATGGAATGAATAGGATACTGCAGCCATTCATGCAAGACCTGCATCAACTAGAGGCAGTAAGTATATTGTAGCATACACTTAACTGTCACCTAAATGTAAGTTCAACCATATAAAAATAATTAAGTGCACATTGTCATTAATATTAATTTATAATTTAATTAAAAAATATGTATTTGTTTTCTTCCTAGGATAGAGGTGTAACATTTTGGATAGATGAACAAGAAAGAACATTCAGTGGTTCCATTGGACCTTATTCAAGTGACAATCTTGGGGCACATTCTCTTGGTGGTTTTCAGGAGAGCTTTTCTGGTCTAAGGATTTGTAGAATTTGTATGGCAACTAGAGAAGACACTAACACAAAGGTAGTAGTAGTAGTGTGCATGCATTTTTGGTCATTATTCAATGTGTCAAGTGTAAAAGATTATTTACCGGCATTCTAAATTTTGTTACAAATAAGTTTAGACTTTTGATCAGACCCTGTGTCAATAGTGTTAATATGAGTCTACACTTCAAAGTTCATGGACTTGAGATGAATATACTATTATACAACTCATATTGTGAATGTCACATTGATATTAGTTTACAGAAGCAGATTTTCAAATTAGAACAAGAGCAATCCATGACAGACATTGCCGGCTTGTAGAAAATGATGCAAATCTAGAAGCAACTTATGGGGTAAAAACAAGAAGTGTTCTCAACCAGTCCCGTTACTTCCACATTACTGATGGACTTGTTCTTGATGTCATGCATGACCAACTTGAGGGAGTGCTGCCCCTAGAAGTCAAGATTCTGTTACAGAAGTACATTCAAGAGGAAAATTATTTCACACTTGAAATTGTGAATGACAGATTAGAAAGATTGTGGTATCCTCAATCTGATGCTAGCAATAAACCAAGTCCTATAAAGCCGCAGTCATTGGCAAACAATTCAATGAGGATTTCACAGTCAGGTTAGGAGAATGATGTTTTGCAATGGTTGAGTTACATATTACTATTATATATTATGTTATATTTTAAAAAGAAAAAGAAATATACAAAAAATATATATAAAAGGCTTTGTTGTATACTAAAAGTACATGATAATTTCATATTCTTTTTCTTTCTTTCACCAGCAGCTCGGATGTGGTGCCTGGCAAGAATGTTTCCTATACTTATAGGAGACTTGATTCCACAAAATGATGAGCACTGGGAAAACTTTTTGCGACTACTGAAAATTGAAGAAATTGTTTTTGCTCCTAAAGCAACACCACAGCTGGCTGCATATCTTGGAGTTCTCATAGAGGAGTACCTAGAGGACTATGTCAACCTCAATGACCGGCTTCCAATCCCAAAACAGCATTACATGGTGCATTACCCAAATCAAATTATCAAGTATGTCTTTTTATATTGAAATTGTAAGCATTGTACATTTTGTACTACTGGGGGTTAGGGGAAGGGTATTACCACTTTATCCACCTTTCATAACTTTACATACCCTTTCAATATATGTATTATTAGCCCACTCAGACTTCATCATGCTGATTATTTAAGTTTTCTGAAACTTGCAGTGCAGCTTATACATGGGTATATAATGCAGTATTACTTATAGTTTTATGTGATGTTTAATGAATGAGCAATAATGTCTTATCAGGTTTAGAAGCATGAGGTGCAGCCGAGTGTTTTTAGACCTCATAATTATAAGATTTTGGTTCCACTGGAGCCACCATACATGGACTTTCATACTTCAATAGATATTTGACGTCACAGGCATGTGCGAGTAGCTCTAAAAGAAACTCCCACATGCTCAATATTCTATACATGGCAATCTGGAATTTTAGGGTGTGATGAGACCTTGATGAGGCTCTAAGTCTTCATCTAAACATGGACATATACTTCCTCTCAGATAAAGTCATCTGTCTTAGTGTTCTTTATATAAAGAATACTAATGAAGGTAATTTTTTTTATATAAAGGTTCATCTAAAAGATGGACTTAAAGGGGGACATTATCGAGTATAAAGGTCCATGCATGTAATATGTATGGTGTATCCAGTTGGCCCAAAGGCTTATGAATTATTAATGAGTTTTTTAATAATATCTAGTAATCTTCCATTTACAGAAATGGTCCCCTAGTAAGAAACTGGGCCATGAGGTTCGAGGCCAAACATAACTACTTTAAAAAGCTGGTAGACAACATCAACAATTTCAAAAATATCACCTATTCCTTGGCTATGAGGCATCAAGCCCTTCAGACTTATCGAATGCAAAGTTCACAAGGCAACTATTTGAGAGTGTCTTTGGAAATTGGACCTGGTAAGGGAGCCATCATTAATTACTGGGGGGAGGGCCAGTAAAATTTCTAAACCTTCATCCCAAGAAATCTTGTCCTCCCCAAATCAAAGCCTTGTCCCTCTCCCTAAATGCTGGTCCAAAATTTTTTGGCCCTTCCCAAATCAAAGCCCCCTAAACTTACCAGCCCTCCCCCAGTAATTAATGACCTAAGCATTAAATTAATTTAACCCCATGTTCAATGTCATTGGCTAAATCATGAGAGTTTCCTTTAATATATATATATATTTTATATAACTTTTTAGCTGTTGGAAGGGTAACAACTGTTCAAGAAGCAGGAGTAGAAGATGAGCTGCAAGAGGCAGACCCCCAAACTAAAGGCGACAGTTCACTGACACGCACATCCTGGGTTAAAGTTTATGGAACCAAATACGTAAAGGGCGATGTTATTGTAATTGACTACCACCATGGCTTTCCAATTTTGGGAAAGATCCAAAAGGTTTTGGTTGTTGAGAGACACATAGTTTGGTTTCAGTACCTTAAAATAAATGTTACTGAATTTGTCTGTCATTTAAATGCTTTTAAAGTTCAGCAACTGAACGAAATAAGATATATTAAGCAATCTGAGCTTCTAGATTATTACCCCCTTGGTCTCGTTAAGGGATTTGGTTGCTATGCCAACCAAGTCTTCGTGACATTGAAATACAGATTGGATCTTATGCAGTAATGATATTTTTGGTTACATTTTGCTATATTGATGCATGTAAATAATACAGAAAAAATCATGATAAATAGTATATTGCAGAATAGAAAGTAAAGTTTCTTAAAATGGCTGCAAAAATATAAAGAAAAATTATTAAAAAAAATAATTACTTTTGTTTCAACTATGTTGTGGTGCTATTCATGCTCCATTTTTTCTGAGTAGAATTACTCAGAAACCAACTTGGATATCATAATGCGATTGAGTAATTTAACTCAACATTTGAGTTAGATTCTCTGAATTATCAAAGAGTTATTGGGTATTTCAATGATTTATGGGTGTTTTATTCATGTACTTTGGCCATTTTAGGGATGGATCGATTTGTAAAGGTTGTTTAATATTGTTCGAATTTGTGTCAATTGCTTGTGTACTATGTCTTGTCATAGTGCACGTGTTACTTTATACTGTTACATAATGTGTAGCAAATATAGCAAAAATATCCCAGCAGAAAGCATCCTTTGCTGGTAAAGCCCATCTCAAAATCATCCCTCATCCCTGTATTCCTTATGACAGACTCAACTTTTAGTTAATTTACTCAATACCTAGTAAATAAACTCACATATTGTGAGTTATATTACTTGACAAATTTTAGTAGAAATATTTGAGTAACTTAACTCAATATATTGAGTTAATTCCTGAGTTAACTCAAATTTTGAGTTAATCTAACTCATTTTGAATTAATCTAACTCATTTAAAAAAATGCTTTTTTTGCGGTGTACGAAGGTCTTGAAGTTGTTGATGCAGAGTGGTGCTTGTGTAAGGGAGGCAAGAGATTATTCTCAGGCATTAAAAGGTTAGGTAGACTGTGCTATGTGGGGCTACTCATTCATGGCAAGAGAGGTGGTAATAAACATTTTTGTTGAAAAGAAATTTGAAATTCCTGAAATTGTGCAAACTTTTTCATCATAGCCGCACTTTTTCTTGGGACACTGAAATGCATCATTGTCTAAATTTAGGTTTGCTAGGTAAAACTTCATGGATTTGTAACCTTCCTTCTCTTCAGGACATCACAGACACCTCCTTTGTGAGTTTTGGTTCCTTTGTTGTACACCATAGGGACAAACCTTCCTCAAGAGGCATCTGCTTCAAATTTGAAACTTAACTTTTTGAATTCCCTTTGGCCTTCACTTCCCCTACAAAAGAAAGCAACAAATGAGAGTCTGTGCTCAGTTTAAGACCCCCAATTCTGAGGAGTTGCATTGAGGTATCTTTCATAAGGAGAGTGGTTACTATTTCAGCATATTTTGCCGAGACCAGTCATTACGCACATATTCCCTTATCATGTAAAATTGGGAAAGAGGGCATTATCAAACATTTCTAATTTGACCATTCTTTTCTTTGAAATTCTAATGTTTGTGACAGTGCCATGAAAGAGGTAGTGTACTCCACTTGCCCTTACGGCGCTGCCTCTTCTGTTTGGTCTAGGTACATGATTGTATAGTATAGTAGTCTTTATTTTCTCACAAGATAAAAAATACATATCTCATGTCACAACATTTGAGTAAAAAGTACATATATCCAAGTTATTTACAATTAAAATACGCTCACATAGCTAAATTGTATTTAAAAATTAAGCGATTAATGTAAGAGTTCTTTAATCTATCTGTATTAACTTTCGGATACTGACTTATTTGATTCCTTAAATTGTAAGTCGATTCTCTCTTCTTGGGTATTAGTCCCCTTAGAGGGTGTCGGTCTATGCCAGATACCTTACGAAATAAGGTATGATGTCTTGCGCTACTACACCGTGCCCTAATGTGGCCAACTATGTCATAGTAATAATAATAATAATAATAATAATAATAATAATTTCCAGCGATGTTCAATAGCGCTTTACAAAAATGTTTAAAATGTTACAGATATCACAAGTATTGTTCCTAAGAATATTTAAAAATTACATTCCACCGAAACAGCTAAAATATAAAACAACCAATTGATAAAAACTAAAAATATAAAGCTGAAATATCAAAGGGCTAATATATATAAAAACGACTAAAATATAAAAGGAATAATTTAAAAACGCTTTCCTAAAAAGATAAGTCTTCAGTTTTTCTTGAAATCGTTCAGACTGTCACAAGATCTTATTCCTTGTGGCATGTCATTCCACAACAGTGGTGACGCTACTGAAAAAGAACGAAAGCCATAGTTGCGCAGATTATATTTAACATCAAACAGGTGATGGCCATCAGTAGATCTTAAATTGCGCCTAAGAATATACCTCATAACTAGGTCAGACAAATATGAAGGTGCTATGCCATTTAGACATTTAAAAGTTATCAAAAGAATTTTAAAAATTATGCGCTGTTCTACAGGGAGCCAATGCAGTTCCTGTAATACCGGTGATATATGTTCATGATTGGGTGTAAGCGCAACCATTCTGGCAGCTAAATTTTGAACATGCTGAAGCTGCTTGATAGTTTTTTCGGCAGTCCATACAAAAGTGAGTTACAGAAGGCCAGTCTGGAATTAATGAAATCGTGCACAAGTATTTCTGCTGTATGGCGACTGATATATTTCGTTATACGACTGATATTTTGAAGGTTGAAGAACCTTGCCTTACATACAGCTGTGAGATGATGTTTCACTGACATGACTGTATCATACAGAACACCAATATTTCGAGCTGTCGATGTCTTGCTAATCAACTCATCACAAACTGAAATTGACGTCAGGGACGGAGGTGGGCGACGGCTGGCATTTAAGATAACTAGTTCTGTTTTGTCCCTGTTCATCTTATGCATGTTTACTGTCATCCAAGCATCGATATCTCGCACACAGTCTTCTATCGCTAATTTGGCTAGGTCAGCAGTAGATTATTTGAAGGTGGGGTATAATTGCGTATCATCGGCATACAAGTGGAAATTAACTTTATGGTATCTCATGATATCACCCAAGGGTGAGTTGTAGAGCAAAAATAAGATAGGTCCAAGGACACTACCCAAGGGATATGTTGACTAGTTAAGTTATTATTGGTATTAAATAGTGGAGACACTCCTTTAGAACTGTTACAGGAATAGGGTTAAGGTCACATGACTAACGACTAAACTTAATAACTAACTTCTCCAACTGCATCTCAGAGACAGGTGTGAACTGACGAAATAAAACTTTGCTGTGTTCAAAACACGCATCTGAGAAAGGATCTTGTGGTATTGGTCTCCTGAGATCAAGGTCTGCTCTTATTGTAACTCTCTCTTTCCGTTCAAAGTAATCAGCGAATAGATTCGCAAGATCTTCAGAGGAATTACAAGGGGGGTAGAGCTTTTCAGTCCTACCCTTCAGTAAGGTTTCCAAGGTACCAAACAAATCACTTGGCCTAGACTTAAGTTCACTAATAAGATCTTTATGATAGCTTGCTTTGGACGTACGAATGAGTCCGTGAATAACTGCACATTGTTGCGTGTAATTTCCCCTGCCTACAGTTAGTCTAGTTTCCGTCAACGGCGTTCTAGTCTTCTCCGTTTCAATTTCTGTTCCCTGATCTCGGGAGTGAACCAGGGAGACTTTGGACGCAAGGTTACAACCTTATTTCTAACAGGAGCATGATCATCAAGTAGCGAGGCTAATTTCGCGTTGTACGCTTCAACCAAGTCGGCTATTGACGCAATGTCATTATCTAGCAGATCCAAGTTCTTAATGTCTTCACGAAACCTAGCAAAGTCAATGCACTTAAGGCTCCTGTAGGCAGTTTCTTTCTTCTGGAGGGGAGGTTTGGATAAGAGTACTTTACAGCATACAGCATAATGATCAGATAGAACGGGATCAATTACCGAAATATGGCGTACTATGCTATCTTCCGATTTGGTGATGATCAAATCTAAAATATGATTTCCTTTATGTGTCGGTTACTTTACGTGTTGAGTATGGTCAAAAGTTTGTAATAGTTCCATAAATTTAACAGCACTCGCGTTAGTGTGATCATCTCTGTGAGGTAAGGGATACATCACTATGTCATTGTAATTGAGCTTTGATAGTATCAACGAGTCAGCTTACCACTTTTTTTAGTGCTGTGGGTGCCAGATTTTTTATTTTCTTGATAATCGATAAGGCTGCAAAACATGAAGACACGGTTTTTATTATGTGATCTGTCCACTTTAAGTTTTCTTGTACCCACATACTGAGAAATTTGAAGAATTGTACTCTTTCAAGAACTTCACCATTGACTTTAATCCTAAGCGTTTGGTTATCCAACTTGTGTTGTCTTGACCTCTGATCTGTGGTGATACATACACGCATACATACATACTTTATTTGGTATAGTAGGCTAAATTTAAGGCAGCCAGAGGCTGATGTGGACCTACTGTCTACGGAATTTAGCTAAAACTATCTAAGTGTACTATTATTAAATCGGATCAAAATTACATACTAAAAATATTTAAAATTTTGATACTTAAATTAAAGGTCAACGGACTAAACTACGGATTATTCAGCTAAAGCTACCTAGGTGTTCTATTATAAAATTTGTTCAAAATAACAATGCTGAAGATATTTACAATCTTGATTCTTATGGGATTAAAATTACAATACTAAAAATATTTAAAATCTTGATTCTTGTTGGATACCATACATGTTTCTTTAAGAAAATTAAGGTTATTAATAAAATTCTTATGCCGATGTTCCTTTAGAAGGCTCTTAAAGTTCTTGAGGGAGTAGGAATGTTTGAGAGAAGTAGGGGTATGTTGTTAAGCTAGTGGGCCTCTGTATCTTAAGGTGGCTCGACTGGATTTTTCAAAAGTCATACTGTTCAAGTTTGAAAATTAACTACGACGCCACGAGCAACGTTATGGTAAAACAATTACCACAGCTGTATTACAAAAAGATGAAAGTTTGTTGTGATTGGTGTTATGTTGACATCGGAGTTTCCATAGCAAGGTAATGACGTCATGACAGTTTTTGCTTTCGTTCGTATTTCTCAGTACCATGAGGTTTTTTCGTAAATCGCTCACTGGAGCTTTTATCTCTTGTTATTGCCTAGATGTTGGCCAAGTTTGAACAAATTCAATGAGAGCATTTTTGAAAATTTTGAGGATGAAGTTTTGAGGGTTAAAAATACAGTAAAAACATTGTTGTCGAGATAATTTGGTGATATCTAAAGAAAACGATGCGCCTTGGGAATGCCGCTATACCACGTAGTTGCTTTATTCCACTTCAAATTGTATGTAAAAAGTTGGCGAGATTGCTCTTACCGATTGTGAGAAAAAAGGGTTTGATGCCTTTGCATTCAGATGCTCTTGTTGTCATTTTTGCGTATAATTTGGTCTATGCCAACAAATATTGTAATATTTTAAAAACTGCTCGATAGATTTTTTTAAAAAATCGTCATTGCTAAGTTGTATTTTCATTGTATACGGCCTGCAGTTTTCAAGGTTATTGAAAATGTGGAAGTTAATAAAATTGGGCCTCAAAAGTACTAATTTGTTATCCCCCATATCGTGTTTACAAGTGAGCGACCTCATTATTCACAGGCATTGTTTTAAATTCTCATATCCGCGTGCACAACTTCAGCAAAAAATGAATTTGCATCAATTAGAAAGTTCGACTGCATTCGGAGATTTTTTCCGAAACATGTTAATATAAACTGAAATTTT